CCCTCTCCAGGCTGGGGCAACGGACCACTGATACAAGAGACCATGGAAAGTCATTATAAAGCCAAACCGAGGAGACAAGTACTGAAAAAGTGTCCTGAGAGAGTGAAGAAGAATTGCCTGGGAATCCCAGCAGGTCACTGGGCAGGAAAACCGAAAGCAGAGCTGTTATCAGCTGCTGTGACAGCAGCGATGACGATGACGAGGAGGGTGGGGGGGGTGACATCGGCCACAGCAGGACACATCAGGGGCCAAGGTGGCATTGGGGCAGCCTGGGAGGGGCAGTCTGGACCCCTCCAATCCAGGACAGACCCAGCACCCTGCCCAGGACACTGCCCAGGACACTGCTCCCCCCTCTCCAAGTCGGGATGGGACCCTTGTCCCAGCGACCCAGCACCCCACCAGCCTCTGATGGAGACTGGATGCTCCCAGACTGATTCCAGCATCCTGCCCAGGACTCCCCAGTCCAGGACAGACCCAGCACCCTGCCCAGGACACTGCTCCCTCCTCTCCAGGTCTGCATGGGATACCTTTCCCAATTGGAATAGATCCCACCAGCTTCTGATGGAGCCTGGATGCTCCCACTGTTCCCAGACTGGTTCCAGCACCCTGCCCAGGACTCCCCAATCCAGGACAGACCCAGCACCCTGCCCAGGACTCTGCTCCCTGTGCTCCAGGTCTGGATGGGACCCTGGGATGTCCCAGCTGGGATGGATCCCACAAGCCTTGGATGGAACCTTGTCCTGGGACAGGCTGGATGCTCCCAGTTTGGACCCAGTACCCTGTCCTAGGATAGATCTCCCAATCCAGGAGAGACCCAGCACCCTGCCCAGGACACTACTCCCTGTTCTCCAGGACTGGATGGGACCCTGGGAAAGGGATACGTGTCCCAACTGTGATAGCTCCCACCAACCCTGGATGGAACCTTGTCCTGGGGCACCCTGGACGCTCCCACCTTACTCCCAGACTGGTCCCAGCACCCAGAACCAGTAGGGACCAGTCCCAGCATCCCAACCCGGGGGGTCCCTCCCGGTCCCCACTCACTCTGCCAAGGGGGTCGCGCAGGTGATGCCAAAAGCCACGGGGATGGCGAGGAGAGGAACGGCCAGAGTTCCTGGCAGCGGCGGGAGCTGCATCCTCTGCCC